AGATATATAGATAGATATCGTTGAAATTGGATAGCGTTCAATGAATTATTGCAGGGATCGCTTAACAGGGGCTTTCTCGTTCACAGTAAACACAATCGAATGAAATTCGTAATGAATTTTCCGGTCTGTAAGTTGGTTTCTAAATGAAATTCTTTTATGACGGTATCGCCGAAAGAGGTCGATTAAAGAACATTACGATACTTTTCCTCCGCTCTTATCCTCAATAAGCCGGCCGAGGTGAAACGAACCCGGTATCTTTTACCAACAACTTTAACATGAGCGTGGTGTCAGGGACTCCTCCATTTTCTCTTAAAAGCTCATGAATTTTACGATTTGTGAAAAAGGGGTATCAGGTGTACCGTGGAAAACTTTAGCTTTTACAATTGAAAAACAAGTAAAGCATATTTTATATAGTAAAATATTTTCAATAATAACTTCTATTTTAAGACTTATATCTGTATCATGTTTCAACAAATTTGATCATGTTTTTTCAACAAACAAATGGATCACTTTGTAACAGTTTTACCAATCTAGGTTAACCTACCTTCGTCTAAATTTACATCAATCATTGCAAATTTTTTTATCATCACTTCGAAGTTTGTATTTTAAACTTTGCACTTTCAAAGATCTTACTTACCAGATTGAAATATTAATTTAAATTGAATTAAAACGAACTTAATTTATATAACCTGAACACTGACATATCCAAATATATAAAATTCATTGATTCACACGACATGACTGAGGGAATACGTTTATCTTGTGTCAAGTTCATATTTAATATGATGGGTTAGACATATTTTCAATATGGTTTAGGCCAATCAATGCTAGCGTTGGTTACAGAATTAAAAGTAACGGATATGAAAAATTTACATTCCGGAGAAGTAAGTTTGGCTGGTGTCACGTCTTTACGAGGCGAAATCGTTAAATGAGAGTTCTTTGGGAACGAAAGGAAAATCTATTTCCTTGATATGACTCTGTGTATGAAAGGTGAAATCAGCGCGGAGGGAGATTCGGATTTAAATAAAAGATGTGCCACTTTCCCTCAAACATTCATTCCTCGTTAATTTCAACACGCAAACCCTCTTTCTTTATTAATGATGTTTTACATCAAAGGATTGCAAGAAAATCTCCACAGCAAAAATATATTTCGTTGTAAGTCTGTAGTACGCCTTCTGACATGTAAAGATCTTTTTCCTTCTCCGCCAGCACCATACTTTGGTTCCACTCCTACCTTACCAATCGTACATTTCATACATACAATACATTTCTTAATCACTAGGAGATAACATGGAGTTAAGTTTACTTAAAATTATTTAAAAAATGGTAAATTTAAAATCTTATTGTTGTTAATTTGATTAACAAGGGGATGACTATGTGGGTGGGTGACGGATTTGTTCAAAACTATTTTGGTAATTTTACACTTCAAAATATCACACACGTGTACTCCACTTGTGGTGAATAGGCCCTGGTTTCGCTTAATATTTAAAAGTTGAAATTTTCTGTTTTTGAATTTTTTAATGCAATTATTTTAAAATTTCAACTACGTGAACATAATTTTACAGCTTTCTTTATGTAGATTGCAATAAAAATATATTAAAAGCTGTCAATACTTATCAATAAGCAAAAAATTCTAAAAACCAAATATATTTCAAGTAAATTACGTCATAATGTTACCCATAATGACTCTTAAATAAAAAAATTTCTTTGAATTTATATTTATCGAATTTTTGAGCCCTGAAATTTGTCCAAGAAGTCGTTATTGGAAAAGTAGGGATATTTATGGAAAACTTATTGTCTCTTGTCAACAAATATTCCACATTTACAATAACAACGTGTTTATTAGAATAGATTAATAGATTTGGAATTCGTAATAAATCTATTTAATGGGGTTATGAAGCTTTTTTTCAAAATCTGCCTTACTGACATTCTTAGGGCAAGCTCTAATATCATTTTTTTTTCAAAAGTACATAAATTGTCAGGTGCATTTTACACCTATATAAAACATGAAAATCGGACTATTATTTCTATTTAAGAAACGAGGTTAAATTTCTGGCAAATAATTTTTTGCTATTTTACGTATTTTCTGAAAGAAATATTTTTCATATTTTGCATGGTACTATAGGTCGTTAAAAAGCTACGTTCCTCTTCTTTCAAATTATTTGACGGTAAAATACTTTTAGCCGTTTTTGAATTATTATTAACCGATTATTATTTTTAATAATAATGTATTCTAATGTAACGTTTTCTTTACATAAATATTAGTTCCAGAACATAAGCATACGGGTCGAAACGCGACACTATTGGTTAAATCAATAGGACGACGTGCTCATTATTGGAAAATTAACTCTACAAAATAAAAAATATACTTTTTATTGCCATCAACATAAAAAGTGCTGTAAAATGTTTGTCTCGCCCAACTCTTCTTCATCAATGCCTGTCCCCATACCCGCTTTCTCTGGACTCTCATTCAGTTCGTCTAACTTCTATTTCTACTGTCTAACCCCAACCGAAGTCCTCGAGGCCATAACCAAATCCCACTCCAATGCCATTGGAGTTGATGGCATCTCTATCCATTTTCTTAAACTCTGCCTCCTAGTATTACTACCTTTTCTTCTTCACATCTATAACTACTCACTCCAAAACTCTGTTTTAGCGACAGTCTGGCTTGTCCACCCTGACAATAAAACCCACAACCCATCCTCCCCTAGAGACTACCGTCCCATTTCCATCCTCTCAAACCTGTCCAAGCCCTTAGAAAGATTAGTCCAAGCACAAGTTTCCAGGCACCTTGAATCTTCTCAAACCCCTCCAGTCTGGCTTCCGCCAAGGTTATTCCACCCAATCAGCACTAATAAAAATTACCAGTGACCTCCACTTAGCAATGGACCAACGGAAAGTTACTATACTTGTCCTTCTTGATTTTTCCAAAGCCTTCGATTCTGTCCCTCACTTATCTCTCCTCTCTAAACTCGAATCTTTTTCCTTCTCCGCCAGCACCATCCGTTGGTTCCACTCCTACCTTACCAATCGCCACCAAGCTGTCTCCCTTCCTAATGGCCTTACCTCCTCCTTCCTCCCTCTAAAATCAGGGGTGCCCCAAGGCTCTAGCATCTCTCCTATCCTTTTTTCCATTGATATCAATGATCTTCCCGACTCCATCCAGTCCTGTAACTATCGCCTATATGCCGATGACTCCCAAATATATCCTTCCACCCTTCCAATCTCCGAGAGAGAGAGAGAGAGAGAGAGAGAGAGGAAACACAAAGAATATTTGGCCGGCATATATGAAAAAAATTTAATCAGTATGTCTGAGCATTGTCTCAACCGTTCATCCTTTTTAACGAAATTTAATCTTTCTCTTGCATGGTAGCTTTGTACTTCAGCCAATTCAACGTACTATACACACGGCTTATTTACCATATTAAAAGTCAATATACTTTTCCTTTCCTCGTTTTTTTCATCTTATAGATATGTGAGACGCTAGAGTACGTTTAGCTATGTTTTTATGTCGTGAGAATGATTTGCGTTCTTAATATGATTTTGCTACAAAGAGGACAAAATAAAATTGTATGATTTTAGTGTTAATCATCCTAGATTTGATTTAAAAAAAAAATAACAAAGGTTTAGCATGCAATCCTCCCATCGTATTGATATAGGGTATATTAACAAAAAATACCTCCCACCATTGTTATCTCTCAGATACCGTTTTCCCAATATTATAATTTAAAATCTATGTATTTCTAAATCATATTAAATTATCGAATGGGTATTGACTTTCGAGCCGTTTGCAAGCTCAATTGTTTTAAGAACTAATAATTATTACCTATCTAAAAAGTTTTTAAATAATTTATTATTCGATTTTTTCTAATATTATATATTTGTATATTAGTATGATGTTAAAAGGTGATATAGAAAGATTAAACGGTCAAATTACTTTGATCTAACGAACCCTTTGGATATCAAAAATTAGTTCATTAGAGTACGTGGTCCGATTGACCAAATAACGTTTTTCAATTAATTAATCTTTATAAAAGGCATTGGTTGAGATAAAAAAATCAATGTCACGAGCGGGATTCGAACCCAGGACCCTCGGCTAAATACAACGCTACTGTACCACTTCAGCTGTCGTGACTTCGATCCACTCGGACACTAACTTTCCATCTCAATCCCCTCTTTCGAATTTTCCCACCTTTTTGCCATTTTTCAAATGGCATGTAATCTATTCGATTCTCGGCGACATGTGAAATGGCCACGGAGAACATTCATGAAGATATACTTCATTTTAATTATTAAATTCATTAGAGTTCGTTAATCTTTATATAAGGCATTGGTTGAGATAAAAAGTCAGTGTCACGAGCGGGATTCGAACCCAGCTAAATACGGCAAAAAGGAGTGAAAATTCGAAAGGTGGGGGTTGAGATGGGTTAGTGTCCGAATGGTTAGAAGTCACGAAGCTAAAGTTGTAGAGCCGCGGTGTATTTAGCCGAGGGTCGTGGGTTCGAATCCCGCTCGTCGCACTGACTTTTTAATCTCAACCAATGCCTCATTTGAAAATTAATTAATTAAGGACGCCGAAATTTGCACTATTTAACTACCATTCATGTTGGCTATAATTATGATGACACAATCAATATCATTATAAAACTTGGTTAAACGTGGTTTTTCTTTCAACATTTTTCCAATGAACGTCCATTTTAATTCTCCGTCGAACTAATTGTAACAAATCTCTTAATTGAACAAACCATACATTTTTAAAAGATGGAACAATGATAGTTGCAATGCGTAAATAATAAATTTTGAAATTGCTGATGTCTGCGTCAGAATTTATAGTACTTATTCAAAGTTATATAATGTAACATAAACCGCAAATGTTCAAGAAGTTTCTTCGGTATGATAAATGATATTAAATATCGGTTGCCAATTTATTCTCCATTGGTTAAACTTTTATTTATTTATACGGCATACAAAGTAATTATATTTATAAGAACAAAACATACCTGGGGTATTTTGAACAGCCTGAGCAGGTTGGCGACTTGGATGGATGTGACGCTGGAAGCTGCACCGACAACGCCGGAAATCACTTTCCTTACTTGCGTTTTGTTGCAATGGTACTCGCCGTCGTCTATGTTGCTTATCGACCCTGAAAATATTGAATAAATCGATTAAAACCCCAATAATATAATACAATTGTTCAATTAAAAAACTGCATGGGTGTTTATTGTACATTAATAAAATCCAATTAAATCTCTCGGCCCTTGATGATGCTTATGGGCCCTCTCTTCGGGAAGGATATAGTCTGGCTTTTAATAAATTAATTAATTCCTCAAGTCAAAACTATTTTAAGGAATTGAAACTCATGAATTGCCCAAGTCTGTTTCTCCTCATTCGAGGAAATATGCTGTTTTCCATTTGGGTAAAATGTTAGTTTAGCGTAACATGTTCAGAGAACATCAAACACTCTGTGACGTTTATCACGGAAATTGAGGGAATTATCTAATTACATTGATACAAGACGATCTCATATTATTTAGTCAACATTTAAGCGGCATTAATCGAAATGATGTATTTCATGATAACGTATATATTGGGTTGTCCGGAAAATAATGCAGGATTTTGGTATTAAACAAAAAAAAAGAAACTAGTTACTTTAAAGCAATGTTCTTTAATCAAAATAATTTCCCATACTCTCAATACATTTCTCCCAACGTGTTGGTAACTTATTAATTCCGTCTGAGTAGAATTCAGAATTTTTAGAATTGATAAAGTCAATAAATGCATTTTCCAGTTCCGTTTGATTTTTGAATATTATGTGTTGTAAGTAGTGGTCCAGGTGTCTAAAAAAATGGTAGTCAGTAGGCGAGAGGTCCGGAGAGTAGGGTGGGTGAGGCAAAGTTTGATAGCCAAGCTCCAATAATTTTTGTGACGTTACACGTGACACATGTGGTCGAGCGTTGTCATGCAACAAAATGGGCCCTTTCCGATTGACCAAAGAGGGCTTCATTACTGCCAATTTCTGATGCATGGTATTAATTTGGTTACAGTATGATTCAGCATTGATGGTTTCGCCAGGATTTAAGAAGCTGTAGTGTATTAAACCAAATGAAGCCCACCATACCGTAACCATTACCTTTTTTTGATGAGTTGGGGGCTTTGGAGCTTCTCCTTTGTCGAGCCACTGTCCAGAACGTCTAGTGTTATCGTAGAGAATCCACTTTTCGTCACATGTAACAATTCTGGCCAGAAATGGGTCATTTTTGTTTCGACAAAGAAGTGATGCACAAACATCAAAGCGCTGATTTTTTTGTGCGATCGTTTAATGAGTGTGGAACCCAATTTTCGAGTTTTTTCACTTTTCCAATCGCCTTGAGGTGGTCAGCGACGGTCGTTTTACTGACTTTGAGTTGCTCTGCAAGTTCTCGAACAGTTGTTTTGGGGTTTTCTTCCACCACTGATCGCAGAACATCATCATTAAGAGAGGAAGGCCTTCCACGACCTTCTTCATCTTCAAGGCTGAAATCTCCCTCCCGAAATTTTTTAAACCACCTTTGCACAGTGCACTCATTAACACAACCCTCGCCCCAGACTTGGTTAATGTTTCTAGCCGTTTGGGCTCCGCTTCGGCCGAGTTTAAACTCGTAAAAGAAAATCGTACGAAATTCTCGCTTTGACATTATAAGGATGACTGAATTATTTCCAAGTAGCGGAATGCTACAGAGGTAAACAAACAATATACAAATGAGTAATCCTGTAAACGTAAACAGAATATTTTATATAGATTTTTTTTAATGAAAACTTAAAATCCTGCATTATTTTCCGGACAACCCAATAATTATACAATTTACAAATAAATTCTGTAGAGTTTGGTTATAAGCGGAATATGCCGTTATTTTCCTTTTTCGGCAAACACTGTTTGAAAATGTCTACCTCTGAATCAGTTAAATGTTAAAATATCTTTTCAACGGTGGCCAATAGATTAAAAAGAAGCTAACCCCTTAAAAAAGAACAGGTGTATGTAAATCCGTGGAGAATTGGTGATCAGAAATGAGGCCAATTCCTTCGTCGAGCTTTTAGTACCTGATCAGAATGTACCTGAGATACATATAGAGACTACAAATAAACTACTTAAAGGTACTATGAGTACCTGATATACAAATAAACTATCTAAAGGTCTTATATTTTTTAACATTTCAAACAAATTTGCTGGATTATTTGGAGGTAGATTACAATAATTAAGCATAAATATAACTTAAGTATAAAAATAGCGTGGTATTTAGTGACCGTTCCTTGATAATTATTTGGAGATCGTGAAATGCGGTCTGGTGTGACGTAGGTTTTAGAAAAATATTGTCTTTGTCATGCCAATGTTTCGATCTTTATTGAGATGATCTTCAGGGCTCAAAGTGTTCGTCTAGATGTGTCATTCTTGTCTGCCGTGTCAATAAAGATTGAAACGTTGGCACGAAAAAAGAAAATGTTTTTCTAAAAACTACGTCACACCAGACTGTATCTCACGACCTCCAAATAATCATTAACTTGACGGTCACTAAACACCACACATATCTACACGAGAAGAACGAAGAACATGGGATTCTTTGAACAAATTTTAACTACATATGGACACGAAGCAAAGAGTATTCTGAAGGACATCGCCAACAATGAGAAGAAACTCGCACCGGCTATCTAACAGAGAACTTTTTGTTGCAATGCAGACAACACCAGGTATTTCCTACTCACATCAAAAACAATTTTTACTTCACAAATGCCACACTAACACAACCAAATACCAGAACTAACGAAATACCTAAGGCCACAATACGTTTCAAAAGAAACATTTCACACATAGAAATCACTACCAGCGTTAAAAACAGTAAGACACTAACACATTACAATTAAATTACACCAATAGGTACTTTCAACACGGCAGACAAGAATAACCCATCTACACGGAAAACAAACAATTCGAGCCCTGAAGATGATCTCATAAAGATCATAAAGACGAAGAAAATGTTTTCCTAAAACCTAGTCACAACAGACCGCATCTAACGACTTCCAAATAAGTACAAAAATAGCCTATACAAAAATTACTTCAAATTAATGTCCAAAACGAACTGTACTTTTCAAAATGTCAACATTGCAACGGTCGTAGTCGGTGCAATAGACTCAACTCTGGTCACCACTTCTTTGTTGTCTTATTCCATGCATCCTGTCACGTGTGACGTCACCAATCTTTCTCCAGTATTTATAGTGGTGTATCCTCTATGTCAACCTGACCGTTTCAGTATATTTTTACTTTTGCCTGACAAATAAATCTCTAGGCCTTCTAGTTTCATTAACCGTTGTCCGTAGCTTTCTCTATGGAGAATTTTTACGTTTTCTCTCAAAAAATTTGCCCTTGTTGGGATGCATGGTTGCCAGTTTCGATTCTTCCTTGTAATGCTTTAATTTTTCATCCGGCTCTTCTATTTTTCCTTTTCGGTTCAACAATTTCTTTTCCATTTGATTTATTTTCTTTCTTCTTTTTTCTTTGCCTTTTTTATTTTGTATTTTATTCCTTTTGCTTCCTTTTCTACGTCTTCTATAAATAAAAAAACTGCTAGAAATAAAAGCTTTTTTAATTTACCTAAACAATATTATGTAGGGAAGCTCAAGGTACCAAGTAAAGAGGTACAAACTGTAAAAATGAAATTTTAAATTGAATTTAAATAAAAATTAAAATGAAATTTAAACATTGATGAGTGTACAAATAAATTAAATTCCGCATGCATTATACACCGGCTAACAGTAAGTTTTTTTTTTTTTTTTTTTTTTTTTTTTTTTTTTTTTTTTTTTTTTTTTTTAAACGAGGGTTCGCAACAGCAGAGGTCATATAAACCCTCACGGTGTCGGTGTTTTTGAAAAAAAGCCAATTTGTAAGTATGTCGGGTTCGAATGCAGGGCCGCTGGATTCGAACCCCGGACCTTTACCTTACAGTGTTGACCGCCGTGTTATTGTCTCTTTTGATTATTTTAAATGAACGCTAATGTTATATTATAAAAACATATATAATTACTTTTATATGGCTTTTATTTTACAAAAGTCGTACAAAATTTAAATGTGGTGGCTTTCAGGGGTGTAGAGGACTTATCAATATCCGTGAATCTTGTCGTAAACAAGAAAGTGCTCTCCGAGAATATTTTAAGACGAATGACTCGAAAACTGTCGCTATAAAATCGTAGAATCCATCCAGCACATAACCTCTAGATAGACTCGCCTTGCAGCCACAGATTACCTAGCATAATAATGTAGCCCGTATATTGCATCAGGCAATTGCTGTAGAGGAAGGTTTGTTCACAAAGGCTGAAAAATTATAAGTCAGTCTTAGAAAAACTTGCAATCAAGCTATATTAGAACTGAATAATTATCACCGATAAGTCAGTTATGTACAATCGGAGCGATATGATTGTGTTTAATACGAATAAAAGTGTGCAATCATAATCGATATAGAAATACCTCTGGATGACAATTTTCGCAAAACGGCCGAGAAACGGCATAAATAACAAGAGCTGGCAGAAGAAAGGAAAAATATGTGTAAGCTCGTTGAAATCACCGTAGCTCCAATGGCTATCATAGTTAATGGTTTGATACCAGCCGAAACAATAAGAAACATACAAGCATTACTGCTTGAATCCCAAAAATGACCAAGCCGGTCCGCCATAGAAATTAAATTCAGGGAAATCCGAGTGTTAAAAATAGGGTAAACTGATTTTGTCAATGTATAGATATAGCGAACTTAAGGTTATGAGCAGGTCGAGAATGATTCCGATCCTATTTTCTAATTCACTTGTTTTGAATGACAACGACGTTGAAGGTTTTTGCAGTACTGATTTGCTCGAATTGACAAAATTTGAAAATTTTGCTTTTACCAAATTTGTTGTTTTACCGAAGGAATTGATCTTGGCAAATCTTGGCCCATCTTAAGATCTTATCTTGATCGATTGCTCAGGGTAATTATTCAAAGAAAAAAGGCTTTTGGTGGTTTTTGGAGGCCAAACTGAGGGAGATAATCCGCAAGTAGTGGCACATAAATCCTATCTTACATCCTCGCGTCATTAAGCATCATCGACCCATTAATAGGATCATCTTAGGCTGTTGCCAGCTCT